GTTAATTTCATACTGGATAGAATCTATCTTACAATTTGCTATGAGAATTTTTGTACAGAAGTTTTATGCTCGAGTATATTTTGAGAGTGCCTAATTATCTTAATCCTTACTTTCTATTCTGATTTTGAGGGCTGAGATTAAGTCAAGTAGAATTCTAACTATTATAATGAAGATCGCCGTTGTCCTAAAAACCACTATATTGAAAATCAGCTTTTTCATCGTGCTTTTTGGCGCACACGGGAATCGAAACTAGGCTCTCCGTAGATATCATACATGACTTCATCTCAGCAGTTGGAATTGAAAATAAAGAGGTACGATTAAGAGTATTTAGATGCTTTTTAATTACCACTTTATTGAAGAGGATCATGAATCCAAGTATTGAATAAAGAAAGTCTTTTGCACGGCCATTTCACATGCTACAAAATATAATTCTATCGATGCATGCAGGTTGGCCTGTGGGTCAAGAGAGGGCTCCTGGGATGTGATGTCTTTTTGCCTCTGTGAACCGGACATACTAGTGCATGTGCCTTCAATTTAGGGGATGGGATACAAAGAGTTTTGGCTTTATATTACAACATTTGGGCCCATCTTCTTGTTATTGTGATTTTTTTTTTTTCATTGAGAAGAAAGTTCTGTCGTGGTAATAACTTCCAACAGTTTCACTGCTAAGATTCTCAAATGCGGTGCATGATTTTCAATCTCCGCCTTATTTTACCTGTTAATCTAAGATAATCCTTCCAGAATACATTTTTCCTATCAATATCTATAGAATGTCGGAAATTTATTTGCTGTGCTTAAGCAACATAAGAGCATCTCCAACAGCTTCCCCATCTTTTTGAAATACTCAATTTTGGGGAATATGGAGGTTTTTTTTTGGTCCAACAGATTCCCCATCTCATTCCCCAAAATAGGGAAGGAGGAGTAAAAATAGGGAGCCTTCCCCAAATCTGCAGCATTCTCCAAATTTTTGGGGAGATCTTTATTATTATAATAAATACGATTTTTTAAAATGGAGAAGCTGTTAGAGTTAGAGCAAAAATAATTTGGAGGATATGACTTTTGTTTCTCCATTTTGGAGAAAATTTTGGGGAAGCTGTTGGAGATGCTCTAACAATATTTCAAACAACTTTTCCCCCTTTTTTTTGGGTGCATCATGTATCCGACGGACAAAAATCACTAAACAATTTCTCCGCATTATAAAGTTTGAACGTTGATTAATCAATTTCAACAAGTTTCAACCTAATTATACTTTCAACTAAATTCAAAAAAGAACTTGACATCCCAACCTCTCCTCTCTTTCTCCTCAAAATCAAGGAGAATTATAATTTGCTCTATGCTCAAACAATAATGACCACATATATATATATATATACAGCAAGTCACTATCATAAATTCCACCTAAACAAAGACTTCAATTGCAAGCACTAGTTCTCGTGCGGTACTCGGTGAGATGGAAGCCTCTCCCCAGGCGTTTATTAACGCTACGAGTTCATTGGTGTGTTTGTGGCCCACTATAATCATTTTGGTTCTGCACCAACCCACTCGTAGCCTTGTGCTCAAATGGACAAAGGAGCCAAAATCATGAGCAATTTGACGCGTTATTTCTTCCATCATTAGCCAAGCCATCTCTCTAGACAAACAAGCTTGAACTCACCAACAATCACAACCGAGAATATGAAGGGATTGTTTGGAATCTAAAAAATTTGCGTACGCAATTATAATTTCAGTTTGTTACGGAAAGACAGTAATGAAGGAAACAAATAATTGACAAATGTATGGAAACAATGCAGAAGAAAATGTCACCACTAGAGCTAAGAATCTTCTATGCCTTCACTCAACTTCAAAAGCATTTTACAATGTATATTATTAAAAATAAAAAGAAAGGGAGATAACACACACACAAAAGGGGGAGAGAGGAAAAAAAAAAAAACTCTCAGCATTTGACATCCTCGTTCAGTAATTAGAGAGCTAGAGTTAACTGTCATATGAAAGAAAATGAAGAACAAGAAGAGAAAAAAAAAATTGCATCCACCTCTTTCTCTTCTTCTTCTGCATCTCCTCAAACACCAACCGGTACTTATCGCTTCAATCTTTTCAGCCTCAGCCTTCGCCTTCGCCTTCGCCTTCGCCTTGATCAGTTGTGCAGTGGGTTTGGGCCAGTGGGCACTACTCTCTTGTCATCATCCAATCCAGTGCAGTTCTTGTTACCGATCTTAGTATCGAAACTACAAACCACTGATGATGACTCTTCTGTTGGTAACACTTTCCCGTTGCGCTTTGCTTGAGCCGCGATATCTCGACCCAATACTTGTTCACTGACGTTGAAGGTAAGTAGCAAGAAAAATACGCCCAGGGTCATTACTCGAGCGCTCCTCCTCATTGCCACTTGGGGGGGAAAGAATAAAAAGGAAAAATGTTTAGAGAGGGAGAGGCAAAGCAAAGAGTAGAGGAAATCAAAGTGAAAGAGGGGGAGATATGAGGGGGGGTCAATTCAAAGGGAGGCAATAACTAAGGTTCCTCGGATATACAGTTGGTGTTAATGATACATCGACATCCCTCGATGAGAGTAGCAACTCCACCAAACCTCATTAATGAAACTTCAATACGGTGAATAAATTTTAAAGCAAATAAAGAAATACCAAAAGCAAGCCCACAAGCCCTATGCATATCCTCACGAAACAAAGGAAATAGAAATCCTATTATGTTGTAGACTTGGCACCACATGTACATTCCATTCTTATTCCCATTCCCTCCCTCTCTCTCTCTCTCTCAATTTTTTTTCTTCTTAGTTAGAGACAGAGGAGCGAGAAACAGGGGATATGGCAGTCGAAATTCAAAGACGACACCCGTTGTATCTGAAGATTAGTTTGTTGGCATGTTGAGATTGGGTTTTGGGAGCTAGCTATTAGCTATAGCCGCAGAAAATCACCATAACATCTCAACAACTACCAAATGGGCTTCGAGATTATACTTCCTCTTATCCATAAATCTGTGTTTTGTCCCACTCGTAACTAAATGATTCTACCTGGCCTAATTGTATCTCTGGTTCGTTTATTTATTTGCTTTTAATTCTAAAATATTCAATTAGGTAAATCTACTTTGGAAATTTGACTAATGATCGGACTACGATAATTGGTGAGCGTGAGATAGAAGGACACTGTTGAGTTGACCTCGAACCGTCAAACATACTAATATTATGCTAACGATAACCATGAAAAGTCAACAAAATGTGTGTAGTTTAATTAATTAACTGATAACTACATGACTCAATTGACAATGGCTCAGTGTTTAGTTAAAGAATTTTATAACAAAATGATGATTAAGTGATATAATCAAGAAAGAATTTGTTCTTTAACCCCTAGTTTTTGACCCTGCCTTCTCGCTTAACTCATAGGCAAACTTTTCGTTTAGCGCTTTCTCAGGAGACTAGTCCAAATGTTTAAGAATGCTAGACGGTAGAAATAAGGGGCTACTACAGCTTCAGCTGGTCAAAGGAATTTTTCGAAAGCTAGAAGCGGACAACGGGGCAGACTCTAATGTCACATATAACTAATATCTAGTTATACGTTAAAAATGTCCACCGTAAGCGATTAATGCCTAGATATTTTCCTTGAAAAAATGTGCGAAAACTTGAAACCTCTGTAGCAAGGACAGCTATATAACAACATATGTCACTAGCATAGATGATAGGTTTTGTATTTTATTTATGAAAATTGTGTAAAGGAGATAATTATATAATATAATTGGCAATAGTATCAGCCAAAGAAAGTCTTTTTTTTTCTGTGTCTTTGAGCAATTGCTTTTGTTAGTGGTACACGTTTGGGGTACAGATGTATGTACTCAATGTTGCATATGCTAGTACTCTCATTTATATCATGATCATACTTTTGAAATGCGCAAGCAAAATGGTCGGTCAGCATGAATTGAGGCCAACAGTGCAAGAACCACCACCTCTGTCTAAAACATAAGAGTATGTTGCAATCAATGTTCCCCAGCAACAAGAATTCCCCATACAATGCCCAACTACTCATCCTTTTCCACCTTTTTTCTTTTGAGAAAATTCATTGTCTTGTGGCAAAGGTATACAGCTTTGTGAATAACTTGTGGAAAAGGTATAAGAAGGAAATAATGGAAAAATGTCAAGCTAACCCATTTCAAGTAGAAAAGGATTGAAACTGGTACACGCTTGAAGTGATAATTATACTCAATCTTTATGTTTTCATATGTATTCAGAAGTAGCAAATTGTTTCCACAGATGGAACCATTTAGCTCACTTGAAATCATTTAGACCGAATCATTTAACTCACTTCAATTCATCTGGACTAGTTATCTTAACCTTTTATCAGTTAGATGATTGAATACAGTTTATCCTTTCCTATTTGGCAAGTTAACGAAGATAAACCACCAAGGGGAGGGCTCAGGTGGTTTCTACTTAGCATCAATGCCCACTGAGCACCTGGGTTCGGTCCCCCATCCTAAATTCACCTGGTGCTATAGTGGGATTTATGGCGGGGCATAGCACCCGAGGTTTACTTGGTCAGATGAAGGTGGCGAGGACCGAGTCAACTCAGGCTGGTCGTCTGGCTGTAGCACCCCAGACCATGGTTTCTGTGGTTTCAAGAAGAAGAAAGAAAAGTCAGACGAAGATTAACAAGTCACTTATAATTGTAAGCTCGACAAATTAAGATGGATTACCTTCTTAATAACCCCACTTTTAAGCCATTGTAATGAACACTTGCGGTGCTTTATTCTCCATTCTTCACTTATATCATTCACTCCGCTGCACAACACATTTGCAAACAGTACCGCCTACACCTCAATAAATGGCAGCAGCAAGAGTTCCGGCTAAGAATACACAAACAGCTCAGGCAATGCCAGCACTGATGTTTCAGGCAGCTTAGCAAGTAGAGCAAGAAGAGTGCAATAAAGAGATGCATAAATCACTCATGATGTTCCCTCTTGCGCAGTAAAACAATATTAATAATTAAAAAATGTAGATATAAAAAAACAAAAAATAATTATAAATGAAATGTTGTCCTACAGATCAAAATTGTCCCACCAGGGAGGATCAAGAAAGAAGCACCTGGATAAATACAACAAGCACTATAAATATAATACATTACAATTACTGTACACATTCTTATGCATTGTAGCCGCTGTGAGAAAATTGCAATAATGATATATAGGTCCTATCTTCTCAATTTGATCATCTTCATGGCAGTTATCTTCCTCTTCTTATGAGCACGATGCTTAGCTGCAAGTCTCAGCTTCCTCTTTGCATGTCTCATAGGATTGACAACAGCAAGAAGCTTCTGGTCATACTTCCTCTTGTCCCTCTTCCCCTTGAGTTTCTTTCTGATTTCATTGTAAACTTGAACAAAATTGTCCACCCCTATTATGTCCCTTACATTGCCTCGGACCTCTTCTGCCAGCTGTTTGATATCATCTGAACAAGAAAACAATAAACGAAATGTTTATTTACGCTGGCAAGTGATTATAACCAAAAGTGTATGCTACGAAAGACAACATGAACAAAAAATAAATTAGTATCGGTTAAAAGAGACGTGACTCACCGCTAACAATCTTGCCCATGAATCCTTCACATGCTTTATATAGAGGAATAAGCAGGTAAAAGGCATAGTCTTTGCAATCTTCAGAACCCATTTGTGATGATATCAGTCTGAAGCAATTAAAAACGATCTTCATCTGCAGGCATTATGGGAAATTCCATTTAGAGAGATGAATAAAACGTTTAAGTTGTGTATAAATAACAAACACCATTCTAATGTTATCATCAGACATAGATCTTTCTGAATTCTTCACAATCAGTCTAAACTATAATCTCTAAATTATTTCTATAAACTCACCTGTATATCCTCCATTTCCATTGCGATTTTTCCCATCCTCTTGAGTAAAGGTGCAACTAACAAAGATTGAAGGTTCTTAGTGCTGTATTCATCAGAATGATCTGCCCCCTTAGGAGCCTGACTAGTGTCAATTGTTGCCAGCATAAAGATGTCCTTTGCCTTACTGGATCCAAGCAATTGAAAGGCCTCCAGATACGAAGTTTGATCGCGATGACCAAGAGTAGACCAAAACTCATGTGGAACCAAATTAGATCTCTTTTTTGTAAAACTATGCAAATGGCAAATTGAGAATGCAAAATTCTGAGTAATGATATTTATTATTGCACCGTCATCAGAGATTTGTGTCTTCAGCTGGTTCAGAAGCGAAGCAGATATCAAACAAAGCCTGCTTGGATTAGCAAGATAAGAAGGTCCTTCGCCCAAATCGTCATGTATAACCCTACCAGCCTCCGATACAGCTGAAAAATTTAAGGCCACCAGCCGATTGGAAATGTTCCGCAACCATACATGAGGATGTAGCAAGAACTTGAGAATCATTTCCGCCACCAGCCGATTGGAAATGTTCCGCAACCATACATGAGGATGTAGCAAGAACTTGAGAATCATTTCCCAGATATCCTGACGAAAACAAGAGGAGCAACCATACATGAGGATGTAGCAAGAACTTGAGAATCATTTCCCAGATATCCTGACGAAAACAAGAGGAAAAATACCACATAATCTCTTAGACAAAACATCAACAGGAGATATTTCGAAAGCATTAACTATGCGAGAAGAAGGATATACTTCTAGGTGGAAGATATAGGGAATCAGCATAGTTGCAATTAGGTTCGGACTAGAAAACTACAATAGCTGAGTACCCTCGAAACAATGAATCCATGAAGGGAAGCACAAGAAAGGTGAAAAAGAAAAACGTCTTCTAGAACTAGTGAAACTTAACTTTTTCCATTGTTATTATGCGATATATAGAACAATAAATAATATAATATTTTGACATCATCTACGAAAGATTCTGCATCCTCCTCAGCTTCAGGACAATGCAAGGGTCCAAAGACTAGTCAGAGCTAGAAATATTGCATAGTAATAGATAAACTCCAGTTCAATAATTATAGGAAATCCTCTAATGAATTTTCAATGGTCTAATAAAATTAGAGATCCTACATTTCTTTAATAATAGAAGTAGTTTGTCAACATAATTGTTCTTGGAATTCTTTATTAACTATTAATTCATAAACATTTACAAAGAATTTTATTCATTTACTAAGCGATAATAAGAAATTCGTTCACGGGCCTCTAGTTTTTATGGACTTCATATAGTTTCCATATTAACTACAGAATAATTAAGTAATTAGACAATCCTGAGCAACCAAAGGTTTCTAAATAGTTAATCAGTTTTGTCCTTAAGAATTATTTGAGTAGAACTAATCTAATGAGGTTTCTAAATTTAGATTATAACTTGATAGATATCCTCTTTATTACATTCTAAGTTGATAAGGTTTTTTTAAACATAATTTAATTTCAAATGATAAGGTTTTTTTAAACATAATTTAATTTCAAATGATAGGATCATTTTTCAACGAGAAACATCAGTAGGATGAGGTGGCGCGAGCATGACATAGAGCAAGAGAGGACTCTAGAAATTCTGTAAACTAAAAAAAAGTGTTGAATTTCACTAACCAACATATTGCATGATAGATAACCGAAGTTCTCGGGTCTGAAAATAAATCATCACAGCATATTGTCCAATGTTGTTTTAGCCTAATTTCCTATTATGCTGATGATCTAGGGACATATGACTGAACTACTGAAAAAGCTATTTTTGCAATGAAAAGAAGTTACATTCCATTAATGGCAGAACTATTACTTACCTCAAGGTCACTGTCAAAATACAACTGAGGGAAGGGCAGCAAAATTGCCTCAAACATAATAAGTGAGTAGTAAGCCTCTTTCCAGAATGGGATTGCAGGTTCGTTTGAGAAGTTGAACCCTTTAATGCTGCTGGCATTAATGGACAATGTGAAAATGTTTCTTGCAACTTGTAGTACAGAAGGTATATGTTTCTGAAATCCCTTCTTCAGTACTTCAACCAATAAACCCAGAACCTGGAGAAGCATAATCATAAGAGTTAACACATGTACTTACAGCTAAAGATAAAAATAACATGAACCATTGATGTAGCCACATTTAACTTATATGTTTTACAGGCTTAGAAGTGATTGTATGGACGCATTTTTAGTGCGTGCACGTAATATTCATTACTCACAGCTGATTGTTGGAGCATGTGTACAGACTGTCCAGAAACTCAATCTCATTTTGCTACCAGTTTCATTCTCTACTTAAGAGTTATACCCAATACAGCTCAATATTCAAATTATTCCTACTACATTATGCATGCATTTTTGCTTTTAGAACCTCCGCACACAAGATCAATTCTCTAAAGCAAAACTGCCATCAGTTTTTCACTCTTATTGCAGAGGCAGAATCACCAAATTATTATGTGTAGTCACTGAAATGTGTAACTGAACTAGTATATTCGTGTAAATAAAAACCAGAAGACCTAATTAATCTAATTAAAGTGGATGTGCTCGGTAGTAAAGTAGTTCCCTTTAACAGTTTCTAGTTTAAACTATAGGCACTGCTCATGTAAATTAATTACACTAAAATCCATAGAGACAGATTCCAAAACCAATTGAAGACCCATCATGCCTACACTTATAATGACACATTCCATTGTGCCAATATGACCATTGAAAGGTGACAAAAACTTAAAACAATAAAGTAGATAGAAAATAGTATTCACTAGCTTCTGTCGGTAGCCTGTATGCATCAGTTAACCACATTCCTCAGCCCCAAGGGGTTTCAAGTTCAGTACTGCTATAAAAGACAAGATTAGCCACAAAAAAGGTACGTTCCATTTTTTTGATAAAAGAACTTGCAAAGCATTCAGACATGTCAACAGTGCTACTTGAGCGAAATAACATATTCAGGAAAGATAAAGCATCTACCTGTGCTGCAGCACTCCATAGATGCTGCTTTTCACCCATATACCATGAAAGGCTGTAATCTAAAATTAAATTTAGTGCATTGGAGCTTGTGCGGGCAATCAGTTCTCTTATAACAGTCGAAACCATTGATCGGACTTTCTGCTCACGTTCATTAGCTAAAGCAACAACTAAATGGAGGAAGAATGTCTGAGCCTGATTATCTATAACATTTCTAGGAAATTTCATAAGAACAGCATGAAGCATTTCAAGCACAGATTCTCTTCCTGATGAATGTTCATAACTGCAGGAAGAGAACATTGGCATTAGTACAAATGAAAACATAAACAGCATGAAAAACTGAGGATATACTTACTTCAGATTAGTGAGTAAGAAATCCATATGTTGCTGCAAGCGTTTATCAGAAAGTTGATAATCCAGAAGGAACTGTAGTAGAATTTTGCTACATTTCCTGCGGATTGGCTCTGACTGGCTTGTTACCATTACTTCAGCAACCTGTAAAATAACATCATAGATTTCATGGGCTACCAGCTTCCGGCCAACTATAGACTTCAAAAGTGAAAGTGCAACTGGGGACGGGTCAGCCATAAGATCAACGAACATAGGAAACTGAATAAGAATGTGGAGCTGATCTTGTGAGAGTGATATCCTAGTGCTTCGTAGTAAGAACATAGGAAACTGAATAAGAATGTGGAGCTGATCTTGTGAGAGTGATATCCTAGTGCTTCGTAGTAAAACAGTAAGCAACTTTAGACAAGATTGTACGAGTGGATTGGTAGCATTTGAAGATTTCTGAGCAATATCTAGAAGTAAAATCTTGATGTTATCAGCCTGTGCTTCCAGGGAAGGTAGAGGAAGCTTGATTAGTGGAGCCAGGCATCTAAAAGCACTAGACAATATGTCTTCATATTTGGAATTCAAGCAGTTCCCAAGCAGTACAATAAAGGGATCCAACATTGATAATAATTGCTCATCATTCTTGTCCAACTTCATATTCTTCAAACGGTTATTTAATACTCCAAGGGCAAAAACAATGATAAGATGATCATTCTTTGACCTTTTGGGACTCAAGGTATTCCTTTTATCTGATAATTCTTGGATGGATGTTTTATTAGTTAAGTTTTCAGATCCATTGTGACAACCAGAACCTGTGATACCATCTTCAATGAGCCCATACACAAAGATAAACAATTCATCTGGTTTTGTAGATGGGTTGCACTCAATTCCTAGAGCAATATGAGATAGCATTTGTTCAAGTTTTGACTTTGCTCCTGGCGTGAGGTGTTTCTGAAGATGTTCCTTGATGGGGGAAAGCAACTTCCGAGCATGTGTCCTGAAAGTAATACTCTGCGATATCAGCTTCAGGGTTTCAAAGGATTTTCTTTTCCTGGTTTCTTTCATTTTTGAAGCAATTTTACCAACTTCTTTCTCCTCTGCAACATGTCCAAGAATGTCATTTTCAGCGATCGATAGAAGCTCTTCCAAACAATAATCGAGTTTCCCAACAGAGGAATTTTCAAGCATTTTAGATAATATGAAATTGAGGGTGTATCCCAAAACATGCAACTCAAAACCCCTCTTTAGTGTTGCTTTCAAAACCTTAACTATCAAGTAAAATCCTTCCATCCCCAACTCCTTAGCACAAGCAGCCAAAGCAGATCTTGCTTCATCACGTATGCTTTCTAGTCGATTCTTTAAAAAGTTACAAATGCGATGAAGGATGCTTGGTAGTTGTGCTTCCATAGTTTCCTTCGGGAGCAACTTGAGCAATTTTAAGGCAGCAAGACTAAAGTTAACATTCACTTTCTCAGAGTCTGATTTCAGCAACTTCGTAAGTTTTGGAAAGACTACCTTCTGCAAGCAGTCTTGTATTTCCAACGGAACATTTGATTCTGGACAATAAACCCATGCAACACTTAAATTATCTTCAGTGCTCTCATTATTTACATCCTCTTTTCTACCGTCTTTAACATGTAAACTGGAGTTGGCACCAAAAAAGTGGAACATGTCCAACACTTCACATATCAGGCGTATCATGATTTTCCCTTTGTCTGGCTTGAACTTTATTTCCTTGAAGCATCTCATTAAAAATACACGATAGTTTTCCCAATGCATTTGCCCTGATATTGAAGCCAGAGTTGTCAAGCATGCATTTCTTAAGTGCTCCCCTTTCCCGGCCTTCACATCAAGCATCATGTTGAAAAATAGAGGAACAAATATCTTGATGGTAATATTCTGCATACACAAAAAAATTTGGGCGTTTTTCAATTAATTACAAGATAGTGACAAGCTCTTCAACATTACATTTAAGGTAGCAATATTAAGAAATGTGTTACAGAATTCCATTCTCGAAAGTGTCTTTATGAAAGAAAGATTTGCTCTCAATTATTTGAAAGCCAGATAATCAAAATTTATACTAACACAACACAAAAATATTTAGTTACTAATTAATCCATTATTGCAATATAATTTTTGCTTAACTATTTAATACTTTAGTACTACACCACTCATTTTTTACATTTTTTCTCCCTAAATATTTACTATACCACTCATTTTTTACATTTTTTTCTTCCTAAATAGTATATCAGTTCATATTGTTTACCTCTGGCAAGCTTCCAGCACTGATTGCACTTCTAAATCGTGATAGCGCCCTTCCTCTTCTGTGTGTCTACGACCAACAGTAGAAACTTTAGGGGAAAGGACATTGGATATATCATCTAAGATAAAGAAAATCAAAGGATATATCATCAAATATAAAGAAAATCAATAAGTGTTACCTGCAAGTGAACAATGTTATTAAAAAAGTCCACTTCAGGATCCTCACTGCACAAACTTCTAAAAGAGTTTAAAGCTGGGATTTGATGAAGATGATTAACCATATCTCGAAAAAGATCAATCCATTCCTGAAAGGGAAACCCAAAAGCAACAATTAGATGCACTCAGTTGTATGATGGAAGACATTAAACTGCATACATACTTTCTGCATTGAGATATCCTTGGACATAGCATCACCAATATTCTGCAGGAAAGTTTTCTTAACTATACGCTGAATGCAAGCTTTCGTCCAAGTAAAACTGGTATTAGTTATTTCAAGAATTGGGTATGTTTTGCCTTCAAGTAATTCACCAGGGGACCTCTCCTCTCCATTGCTATCTAATACTGATGCCGCAAATCGTATGAAGGACAGCAATGACTTAGAGGCACTTTGCCGTAGAATCAGTTCTTCAGAGGACATGTCATATATGCAATGAGATAGTACAGTTAAAGCATGTTCCTCCATGAATGAAGAGAAGATATCTGGCCTTATTGAATTATAAGCAGATATTCTTGTGTCATAGTCAAGCTCGTTTATCTCCAAATAAGACACAGCATTCAATTCACGAAGAAGCCTAGCCTGAATTCCAGAACAAATGAAAAGAGAATAAAGAAAATTGCTTTCTAAATAAGTAAAGAATATAAAAGATGTACAGAAAGAAGTAATTATTACCAGAAATGCCAAAGATGGATCAATCAAAGAAAGGCCGTCAAGAATATCACAAATGCACAACCGCATGTTCAAACCACAAGAAACAAGGAGCGGATTAACTGCACTGAGAATTTTTCCAGTTGTTTTATCACTCAGCACGGGTAGAATCTGCCTTATGATATGTAAACCATCCAAACACTCATCTGCAGTAACAACAGCAAAATAGAAAACAGAAATAAGTAAATCA